ATATGTTAAAAGAATTCCCGACAATCTTATGTTTCAATCACCAGCATGTTTCATAGGTTGAAATTAGGAGAGATTATATTGATTGGTGTAGGTTAAGAAACTATAGGGTTTGTCAATTAGGAGAGATTAAAAAAGAACATAAGATAAAATAGTTAAGGGCTTGTGGCAAGTCAAAATAATAGTATTCTTTGATTGGCAAAGTAACTGCAAATTAAGGGTTTGTCAATTAGGAGAGATTAAAGAGTTTTTTAATCAAATTCATTATGCTCATAAGTTCATTGCCCTTTTTCCATGAGCCTTCTTTTCTCCGGTCCATCTGAATACAATGATAACTAATAGCAGAATGTATTTATCTTGTATAATCAAAGCTTCTGGGTTGGTACTAGAAGCTGAAAGCTGTGCATACTTCCAGCAAGAATGCTATGCTGGTAATACATTAACGAGATCAATTTTATGAAACCTCTCGGTTTCTATCAGCCCTTACTGTAATTGTCACAAATAAGATTCAATAGATGCTGTTAGAGCTAATGATTTATGCATGTCTACTCAAAATTTTCCATTCCTATGGCTATATATTGTTCAAAGGAAAGGGACTAAAAGAGTTGTAACTTTTATTATTGATTCACTAATCCTGATAGAAGAAATAATGTTTCATAGTTCCTAGTAAAATCTCATATACGTTTCGTGTGTGCAACCACAAATAATGCTTTCTTCTTACTGTCTCATTCTCTTTTGCAGGTCTCCAATCACCATCTAAAGGTCTCGATAAGTTCAAATCAGTTTTCAGAATTTCCAGGAAAACTTTCAGCTACATATGTTCGCTTGTGAAGGAAGACATGATGGCTAAGCCAGGGAGTTTCACATTTTCAAATGGAAAACCTTTGTCTTTCGAGGATCAAGTAGCTGTTGCTTTGAGAAGGCTAAGCTCTGGTGAATCTCTAGTGGCAGTTGGTGATTCGTTCGGGCTGCATCGCTCTACCGTCTCACAATTGACATGGCGCTTTGTCGAGGCCATGGAAGAAAGGGGTCTTCATCACCTGCAATGGCCTTCCACCAATGCAGAAATGACGGAGATAAAGTCCAAATTCGAAAAGATTAAAGGACTTCCTAACTGCTGCGGTGTGATAGACACCACACATGTTATGATGTGTTTGCCTTCGGCGGATCCTGCAAGTAAGGTGTGGCTTGATCATGAGAAGAATCACAGCATGGTCCTTCAGGCAATTGTGGACCCTGAAATGAGGTTCAGGGACATCGTCACCGGTTGGCCAGGTAAAATAGATGACTGGTTGATGTTTAAGAGTTCGAATTTCTATACACTGTGTGACAAAGGAGAGAGATTGAATGGGGAAAAGTTTGAGCTCTCTAAAGGAACAGAAATAAGGGAATACCTAATTGGAGACTTGGGCTATCCTTTGTTACCCTATCTTTTTATACCTTACAAGGGGAAAGAACTACCCGAAATTAGAAAGGAGTTCAATAAAAGGCATTCGGCAACTCGGCTGGTGGCAAGCAGGGCATTGGCAAGGCTGAAAGAAATGTGGAAGATCATCCAAGGGGTGATGTGGAGACCTGACAAACATAAGTTGCCAAGGATCATCCTGGTTTGCTGCTTACTTCACAACATAGTTATCGACCTGGAAGATGATGATGCGCAGGATGAAATGCCACTGTCGTATGACCATGATCCGGGTTACCGACAGCGGATTTGCGGTTCTTTTGACATCAATGGTGTCCACCTGAGAGATAACCTCTCTCTCTACTTGTCTGGGAAACTGCCACCCTAATACCTGATTCCTGGTTGGTGCGTAGAAGGATTAAATTAGGATCTTTTGCAGACAATGATTTCATTGGAATTGTTAGTGTTCTTTTGTTTGTTTGATTTAAAAGTTGTACAAGTTAACATGATTCTCAAGTGTGCACTTTTGAAGATAAAGAGACGGTCGACACAAGATGGAGAAATTTAGATCTTCTCCCTCCTCAACTGTGTTTCTTTGATTCTCTGCTACTACTATTATTAACAACACCGTTGGCTAAAAGAGCTCACAAAATCTATTTATTAACTTGAGAAACGACTCATTAAGCTGTTATATATTATTTAAATATATTAACTGTCAAATTTTAAGCGCAATCACGTCTTGTTTAATTTTTAAAACATATAAGTTCTATAATCCTAGAACGAAAGCAACGAACCCACCCTTTGACGAAGCTAACTACAATCAATTGACGGTCATGATCCATCACCCGCAGCACACTTGTACATCAAAGATGAAAGTCGTCGCGAAGTGTGATAAAGCAGTTGTAGTCTAACAATTCTGGATAATTCTTTTCACGAGGAAAGATCCGGTGCTCCTCACTCAAAAAATCAAAATTAACTCATTCGTTCTGTTCGCCGGCCAATTCATCAAGAAATAAACGCCGATCGACCGGTTCCTCGGATTTTCCGGCCGTCTTCGAATATTGAAGGAAATGAAAAAGTTTCTCTTTGGAATTGTTTTTAGGTTTTATTTTCTTTCTGTTTCTTCAGGTTTATTAAGTTCTTTCGTTTTAGCCAGTTCATTATATGAGATTTTCGGGGAAGCTTTGAATTGGGATGATGTTAGCAGAGTTTACATGCTTCGATTGAGTATTAGAGAAGAAGAAGCAGAAAAGAGGGAAGCGTGTAATCTACAGATGAAGTAGCGGGAACTGGAAAGAAATGGTATACCTTTTTAAACTTCTTTTAGGACAATAAAATGGCTGGTTGTTATTTCTTTTCTTTTTTATTATTGGTTAAGTTTGTTAATTATTTGATTTTTGTTTATTTACTTGATGAAATGTGCATGGTTTTCATCATACTTTCAGGGTGAACTCAGTAGATTTTTATATGAAAACGGTCTTGCCTTTGTTTTAGAATGACTAAGATGCAACTTTTTTTTTGTTACTGTGGAAAAAGATAGTGTTTTTTTCTTTTTTGGTTACCCAATTTTTTGTTGGTTAATGGATCACTGAACTCTGGATTATCACAAGCAAGCAACTTCTAAGTGATGTTTTTGCAGGCATTTCAGAGTAAAAGTTTTTGGATGGCAAAGGGTACTGCGCATGTGTCTGACGGAGATGCAGCATTTGATAATACTTCTAGGGTCGAACCCAAGCGTTCGCATAATTGGTTTGTCGATGCTGAGCCACAGCTGTTCCCCAACAAGAAGCAAGCTATACAGGCTGCAACCAACAAATCGAATTCTGGAATTTATAATTCAAATGTTCTCCCTTGGGAAAATGTTTCCAGTTTCCAGTCTGTTCCTAGCCAATTTATGTACCGGTTGTTTGGTTCCGAATCTGAAAGGTCTGTCAATTTCAGTGACAGGAACACATCTCCCATAGAAGCAGATGACGCGAGGAGAAAAGGCCTTGAAGATCCTTTCGGTGAAGTTGCATCTGTTGGTTTGTCGATATCTCCTTCCATTGAAGATCCTGAATCATGCTTTAATTATGGTGGAATTAGAAAAGTTAAGGTCAATCAAGTTAAGGACTCCGATAACTGTATCCATGATCCAAAGGAACACAGTTTTAGCTGAGAAAATAACAGTGACATGTCTACAATTGAGTTGTATAACCCTGAATATGAAAGTTGTTTCAATTCAATGGGACATGGTTATGATAGGCAGTGATAATGTTGCAACAGTGAGTCATATCTATAACAGGGATGATTTGCATATCACTACGACAAGGATAATGGAATTCCATTATCGATGGCCAACACTTGTGTTAAAGAGGATGCCAATTTCTTTCTTTTGGTGGCTTTCACGAAGAGCATGAAATTATCCCGGTGAGCAGGACTCTTGGTAGCTTTGATCCTTCATACTGTCAATCTTCCAATTCAACATTGGAAGACACTTCGAGAAATCAGCTGGGCATATCAATCTCTGGTTCGGTTGCAAGTGCAGCTCAGACTGCTAAACTAAGACCTGAATCTGCTTCAAGGACTAAACCAGAGTTCAAACCATCAAAGAAAGAAGCTCCAAACAGTTTCCCTTCAAATGTCAGAAGTTTGATATCGACTGGTATGCTTGGTGGTGTACCTGTGAAGTACGTTTCCTTGTTGCGGGAGGTAACTGGCTAGTTATTTTCTTCTCTTTTTCTTCTGTTGCATTTGCTTTCTGCCTAATGGTTTTATCCCTTTACGACTGTATGTAATAAGGAGCTTTGCGGAGTTATAAAAGGTTCTGGCTATCTTTGTGGGTGTCAATCATGTAACTTTTCTAATGTAAGCCATATTGTAGTTTCTAGACTTGCTTAAGTTTTTTGGCTTCTCAATGACTTATGTATGATTGTGCAATAGGTGCTGAATGCATACGAGTTTGAGCACCACGCTGGTTGCAAAACAAAGCATCCGAACAATCACATTTACTTTGACACTGGGAAGACTATCTATCAGATAGTACAAGAATTGAGGAGGACACCGGAGAGTTTGTTGTTCGATACAATTCCAACTGTGTTTAGTGCACCAATTAATCAGAAGTCCTTTCGCATTTGGAAAGGTAAATTAGATTTGGTTTAGCTTCTAAGCTGCCTCTTTGCTCTCTATCACCTTAGATCATGAGACTATGAGCATGAACATTGAACAACCCACATTATTGCTGCATTGGAGCCAGTTGTTAACTCGTTATCTTCCCATCTTTCCAGAATCATTTCAAGCAGCAACTCGTGAGCTTCAACGCATTTATGGGAAAGAACTAAACCTATAGGATGGCATTTTCCAAAATGTATGATAAAGCACAATCTCCCTGGTGAACTATGTGCATAGAAAAATAAATTATGACTTGTGTTTACATATAGGGTGTTATCGGCTTTTCAACCTAATTTAGAGTAACTAAATGTAAGAGAACAATGTAAAGGAAGATGTATGACAGAGTTGTGACTTGTGAATCCTGTTTTTCGTTAGGCCTAATTTAGAACTCCTTACTTGCATGACTCTTTACTTCCTACAATGTCATTTGTAATTAAGCGGGTATTAGAGAAATCACAGGTAAGGTTGTTGTTGCATCAACAAAATGAACTAGTCTTGCAAGCAGTCAGAACCCTGGCTTCCGATATGAAGGAGCCAAGAAAAGGGAAGAAAAACAAGGTATGTTCGTCCCATTACACAAAGGATCCAATTATGAAAACATTACATTCACACCCTATAACAAAGTTATAAAGAATGACAATAAGAAAATACATGCACTCATCATCCAGTCAATACACAATTAGTTTTCCCTTTTCTCTTTTTTCCTCCATTTTCTATCAAAGTTTAACATCCAATATGTGCCCCACCGGAGGCACCGGATTTGAACCAAGTTCGATCCCCTTAGGTTGAACCACAGCAAGCTGATCCTTGTGCAGCTTGACCAGCCCCAGCTGCCTGGTCAGGTTTATTGATCTTGATCGTTGAAGGCTACAACGATAGAAAAGTTCTCAATATTTCTATCAATAATATTGCAAAATGGCAATGGTTTCTGATTATCAGAGCCTAATTTTATTTTCAAGAAGTTATGTGATTCTTATTCTAGATAAGGCAGGCTATGTGAATTACCTCAGCCTTTGAGTCAGTATCCACGAGTCTTTGCTTTATGTCCCTGGCTATTGAAAAGAAAACTTCCTCCACGTTCAGATTTGTCTTTGCACTCTGCATGACGGTTTGTTTTCAGTATGTAGTCTCTCTAATTCAACTAGCAAGTAGCAACCACAAGCAGCAAGCATGACTTACTGTTTCGAAAAATTTGATTCCATATTCGTCAGCAAGCGCTTGTCCCCTGGAGGTCGGCACAGCCTTAAAAAGAGAAAAATGTAGTAAGATTAGAAAATAGATGCATTCGTCAACAAAACCCAAATGAATAGATGGGGAGGGAGGAGGGCTTTGACAGTATCATAAAATGTGATTAACAGATGATCCCCTAAATTCCCCAATTAAGATGAACACTGAGCAAAAAATGCACAGATCCAACAACACACTTAGACTTAGCAGGGCAACTGGGCTAAGATGCTAAACGTCTGATAACGTTCAAAGCAATCCGCAAGATGATAAAACCATAGACATCATCTACTAAAATATTATGGAGAGAAGCTCACCCTTTTGCTTTCATCCATATCAGCCTTGTTCCCGACCAATATCTTGTTAACATTATCTGATGCATGCTGTTCAATGTTGCGAATCCAATTCCTAATATCTGCGTGGAGAAAGAACCTTTCTATAAGAGATTTAACATAGAAACCAAGTACTATAACAACTAAAAGAACAAAGCAAAGCCTTAAATCTGTATAACTAGTTAATAAAAGACAGCAAACAAATGTAGCAACATTAAGAAGATTAAGTGAAAATTTAAGGTCAAACAATTAGTTGGGAAAAAAGAGAGAGAAGGGATTTACTGTTGAAGGAGGATTCATCAGTGACATCATAGACTAGCAAGATGCCCATGGCTCCACGATAATAAGCTGTTAATAGGAAGAAAAAAAGCATCAAAGGAAACCATTTGAAGAAATGCAAATGTGGAATATATATCAGTGTTTGACAAAAGTGACTAAAGAAGATTTAGGTTACTAAAATTTTAGTTAATAAGAACATTGTTCCATATGACAATCCTAACAATTTGAAAAACCTGAGAAATGCCCAGACCAGCATACGACACAACCATGAAAATTCTCCAACATCAGACAACAATGTTAGGATTTTAGGTTGTAGACTTTTAACCATTTCACACCTTAAAGATGCCTAGTACCAAATAGCCATACTTAGTCGACATAGTAGCAGTATCAATAATTAAGACTACCCACAAAGTCCATAAAGTGACAGCTAACCGAAGAACAGATCTAAGAAGTTAAAGAAGAACTTTAGTAATTAATAGCATGCAATGGAGGGTCATAACCAACAGCAGGCATTTGCTATTGATGGAATAGTTCAAAGGAATTTCTGTCATAAGGCCTTGCATAACCCATTGCATATTTAGTTTTAGACCTTTGGTTGAACTTGCATTTAGGTTTCTTAAACATGTCTGTTCTTGCTCACACATTCAGCTATTGGAATTGTGCATTTCCTAGTTGGGCATGCCTTTCAACAAAACTAGTCCAAATTTCTTTCTCCCGATTTGGAAACATAGAAAAATTCAGACAAATTGATCTGAGACTGGAAATCTTCAAGGTAGATGATGGCAATGTCATGATTCAAACATATCGTTTTCTCCCATGGATTGAAACGAAAGAATTATGCTAGCAAAAACACTTACCAGTTGTGATTGTCCGAAACCGCTCCTGCCCAGCTGTATCCCAAATTTGGAGCTTAATTCGTTTACCATCAAGCTCAATGGTTCTTATCTTAAAATCAATACTGCATGTGTGATAGTCACATTGTGAAAGTCAATAAATTATTATCAAGAAATAATCTAGAGAAAATGGTTCCATTTGAAATAACGCACCCAATGGTGGTGATAAAGCTGGTTGTAAAGGAACCATCTGAGAATCGTAAAAGTAGGCAACTCTTACCGACACCTAGAAATGTGAATAAACAGAAAATGTTATAGTCCTAGCAAGCTTTGAATGCATAATAATCTAAGTTATGAAGGCATCTAAATTTCAAAAGAAGAAAAATAGAACATTTCATGAAGAAGGAATTCATTTTGGGGCAAAATCTAGAAAGCAAATTAATTTTAAAAAAATTATGAAATCATCAAACCATTAACTGAAAACCCCCATGATTTATCGCAATTACAGCACATAGCTCCCACCAAATTATATATAGCGAAACCGAGAGTCAACTAACCAATAGCAGCCAAAGTTTGCTTCTTCGACGCTCTTTAACTCTCAAAATTTTAAAATTAGCCCAAGAAACTCATCGAGAGAAATTTGGAGACACGAAACTGAGAGGCACCGAATAGATTATAATATGAACTAAATCTAGTTGCACGCCAAATTATTTCCAGATAATGCAAGGCAAATAATAAATCTAAGGTGGTGAAGAAAGATCGGAGAACTCGAAGATCAGTTTGGTCATAAGGAAAACGAGAGATAAAATGAAAGTAACCAAAAGAGCATAGTTTTAGAGATCAACGTACCACTGTCGCCGATCAATAGAAGCTTTACGAGGTAATCGTAATCAGCTCTAGCTCTTGCTGGTGGAGCAGCCATTGAAAACCTGCAAACAGAAAAGACGAATCAGAATCAAAAGTTCACATTTCTATACTCGAATCCACATAATTGAAACAAGAAAAGTACCAGATCGGGTATCGAAAAAAGAGATTTTTCAGGGAGAAAAAAAAAGGAGAGGCTTCCAAAAAAAGTCAAATCTTAAAGATGATGAAATTCAAGTTCTACTTAACAACAAATTTAAAAACAAAACTATTACCCGCAAAATAGATATTCTTCGAGGAAAGTGGGTTGCTAAAATGCGCAGCGTCCGCTTTCCTTGCTTCTCTTTTTTCGACTTTCTTTTACTTTTCTTGGATGCGCCGATCACCCAGTGCGCATGCTAGCAAATATACTGATATCAACGCGGAGATAAATAGTGTGGAAGACTTTAGTTTTGATGATTTCCTTTATAGGGGCGTGACACGAATAAAAGAAAGGCTCCTGACAAACCACCTGGCAAATGTTCTGGCAATTTCCACGTGGCTTATGCTTGTTGATTGAGGGGACCAGTGCTGGAGAAGTGAGCTGGCATCCTAATCATCCTCAGCCGTTTAAATTCTTAAATTAACAACTAGCAGCTGGGTTTTAGAGAAAACGATCCAGTGTTTCGATACTCACCAATACTAAACTGCAATTCACAGATCAAAAAGAGATCAGTCGGCCGAAAAGGCAACAAATTTTTCTTTATTTTTTAAACGTCTACGGCAACCAAGCCAAGCTGTCCAATTGGGTTTCACCAAGTTCCTCCCAATCTTCTGCCTTGTTTAGCAAGTAAAATAAAACTGACAGCTGTAAAAAAAAATCTATGTAATGTTCTTATGGATGGTTAATCGACTTCAATAATTAACTTCAAATATGAATTTTTTTACTGAACCAAATGATTTCATTTACTTAACCAAAGTTGGGGACATGTTTCGGATTTAAAGAATAATTTGTTTACAACACATTCTGAATGGTGACAAGGGTTTTGTGTTTTTTTTAACGAGGCATGAATAGTTTGAACATTATACAAACTGACAGCTCATGTATGCAACTCTATCTAGGTACCGTTTTTTATATTAATTATTTATTTTATTAACGATGATTATTCTAAAATTTTATTTGTAGTTATTTATTATAATTTTATAACACTAATATACATGTGTACACCCTAAAAATAATTTGAAATCTGTCATTCGTGACCACCCACATTTGCCAGTATAATCATATTAAAACTAAAGTTGTAAGGACTATATATAGAATATGGGCCATAGAGTTAATGCTTCTAGTATATGCTTGGAAGATGCTTTCCCCACAAACCATAAGAATTTCCTTCAAAGCATACAGAACTTTCCTTTTCCTCATTGTCTATCCTGCAATTTCTCCAAATGCTAGTATCAAGGGCGCTCAGGGTCGATGGTGATGGGAGCATCAACGGTGACGACGAGGATGGGGGTGAACGCGTAGACAGATATCATGATCGTTGAATTGTAGCCGAATTTCAATCAGTTGGGCAACTAAACACTCTTTTGGCAGTTCATCAAGATCGGGGATCATTGTGGCTCCAGCGTATAAATGGCGGATCTAATAGTTTGAGTTACTTTTACAACATTCAAAAGAAACGATTGCTTCTTTTCTTTGTACTGTTTATGGCTGAAACCTGAAACATCAATGGTTGAAGCCAGTATTATTAGAGCTTTTTTTGCTAGAATTCTTGCTGTTTTATGTTTGATATAGAAAAGCAGCTAGTACAACCACAGTTTTAGCATTGATTTTCGGAACCTTTTATACTCCAAACTTAACTTTTGATCTTAAAAAAAGGAGCAACACAATTCAGTCAACATCTGTGTGGGCATTAGAGCAGACCAGGAAGGCTGTGCCTCGGCCTCTGTTGCACCGATTCTAGCCCACTGTAAACGCTGGGTAGCCAATTGCAGACATTTCATAATCCCCAATACAAAATTAGAATTATAGAGAGAACAGGTACCAACTCATACATTGTGAGAAATCAAAAAAATGAAAATCTCAACTCTCAATGGAAGAAACCAAGTACTTTTCCTCCCACATTTTTTCTTCTTGCTTCTTCATGGTCCATGATGCCAGCAGATGTGGTGAGTACAATAATCCAAACTGCAGTAAGAAAGAGCGTAAATGGCACAGGATAAGCACTCTCATTCTCGAATCGATTAATAAGATTATGTGAATATGTCAACAATCAAATCTCATCTAGGGGTCTCTATGTGACGAAATCCGAGACATGCACGATAATGATTTTGTATTCATACAATATGCAGAGAATAAAGATTAAAAAGCTTCTAAGCTAACCTGTCTTGAAGGAAGCAACCTGGCAGTCCAACCCTCTATCTCTTTGACTCCGATATCTAATCGAGGACTAATCACCCCACACTTGTTCAGCCTCCCGTTCAGTTCAACCACAATTTTGCCAGCTCTGTGATCATCAACATACTCAAACTCTCCGATGTAACCTGCAATGGCAATTGAGAAGTATCAGCAATTTCATCTTTACCATAGATCAAACTTAAAAAGTTTTAATAAAAAAGGGTGGAGAGCATAGTAAACAAACCATGCTTCTGCATGACCAGAAGGAACTTGATAATAACTATCGAGGAAGGCCGAATCATGACCTGCCGTTTCCCCCTCTTCTCTGCATTGTACATGCTCTTGAGTGCATCATTCAGAACACTTACTCTCGCCATCCTTCCAAAATACAAGCTGCTGCAGATTTTAAAATGAATGATAATCAAGCATTTAAAGTTTCCACTCCTCAAAAAATACAAGGCTAAGCATCTGACAAATTGCTCATGAACCACTCATTTTTGTTTGTTCGTCAAACTAAATAAGAAAAAGTATGAACACAAATTTTATGTTTATTGATTAAAAAACAGGTCTAAAGATGGTGTTTTCAATTTGTTTAAGTTAAAACAAACTTGTTTATAAGTTTGTTTATTTATACTTTTAAAATATTTTTATTTATTTATAATATGATTATTAGTAATTATGTTAATTTATTTTATATCTAGAAAATAATTTGTTTGTTATTCATTAACTTTTTTTGAAATCACTCATGAATAGATCTTTTAATTGTTTGCAAATATGTTGCCACACCCGAAAAATTTTTGAACTTTAATTTTATTCGAAGGACCAGTTTGAGAGTTTTTATAACTTGAGATCTGTTTTGAATTTTCTTTTTACTCAGCGGCTTGATTCTTAATTTACCATTTTTCCTTTAAAATCTAAAAAAAAAATTGTGTGGTTGGGATTTTAACTCCCCAATTGGGAACCAAATCCCTAAATGGTGAAAACAAAATCAGCTTATCGTGAGAGAAAAAAGTCTTTCCCAAAAATCAAACGCATAGCCTCGTTGTCGTACATCCTATTTCCGGCCAACGATGGCGTGCATCGCCACCACCACGAAATTCCCCACCGTGCCCCGATCAAAACCCCAATTTCCCAAAGACCGATGTCGATCGTCGAGGATGGTCTTTGAAGTCATGTCGAAAACCTAAAGCTATCGTTATGTCTCTTATTCGATTTTGGCCGCCATAATCGTTCGTAGGTGACGTCACTGCACCAATCGACTCACCGTCCCACGTCAAGCAAAACCCAGTAGGCCTCTTCTAGTGATTCATCGTCGTTCGTCGCGAATTAACCGACAAAATTTCGTCAAAGATCTCGAGCCCTATCGCGATTTTCGTCGATTTCACACCGATCCCGTCGTCGATTGTCCTCACCGCCACCATCATTTGATCCCCTCTCATGACTGGTCAAACTTAGGTACATGATTTTTTTCAAGCAATTTATGAATAAACTATTCTTATGTGATTTTTATGAAAATCCATGTCAAATGTCGATAAAAAAAACATGAAAATCGAAAAGGCACTGCGTGATTGTCTCCCATGATCAAATTATGTCACATTAACCGATTTTGTATTATCTAACTAACATGTCATAACTAATTTTTTATAAATAATTTAAAATTGGTACAACTCAATTATATGTTGTCTAAGTAGTAGAGTTTTATATATTCGAATCTAAAATTTAAATTACGAACTTTTTATTTCAATGAATTTTAAAAATAAGTAAATTTCTTTAAAAAAAAATAGTCGACTCAATGAAAAATATTTAAGAGAAAATAACCTCAGTGACAAAAAATGCCTTATAATATACGATTTTAACCAACTTTTTTTGGATTTACCAAAATGACCAACTAAATCGCAATGCGATCAATAATTTGCAACGCGATCTCCGGTATCGCAAATCAGTTTCCAGATTTGCAACGCGATTCTGACTATCGCACTGCGATTTTCCAAATTTGCGTTGCGATTTTCCGACTATCGCAATGCGAATATGTAAATCGCAATGCGAGTATGACTATCGCAACGCGATTCTGACTATCGCAACGAGATTCTGACTGTCGCAACACGATTCTGACTGTCGCAACGCGATGCTGACTATCGCAATACGATTTTCAAAGCGCCATTATTATCGCAACGCGTATTTTTTTCAAATTCCAAACACAAATATTAATATATCGGAACACTGAACCGTCCACAGTATATCCCGTAATTGCAACTCATAACCTAAAACCCTAAATCACAACTCAGTCTCATCTCCATCTCTCACTCTCTAAGGCGACATCCGTCCCCATCTCCGACGAAATCAGTCCCCATCTCCGGCAAAATCCGTCTATCTCCATCTCTCAGAGCCACCCTCAAAATCATTCACAGTCAGAAATGGAAAATCAACCACCGAGGGTTAGTTTTTTTAATTATTTTTATTTTGAAATTTTTGCATTATTATTAGGTTTTTCATATTGAAATTGATGATAAGTTTACTGGTAATTTCAATAATAGATTAACCATTTCATTTAGATTGTTTATTAAATTCATTCGATTGCTGCCAATACTGCTAAACTGTTTAGTCTTTAAACCCTGTGAATTTAGTATTTGTCTTTGTTTTGTCTTTTGGTTGAAGTAATGCAATCCATTCAAGTTTCAATTTTAGTATTTGAAACCGAGAATCGCAATGCGAAATGAAAATCGCAATGACAGAATCGCAATGCGATTTTAGTTTCGCGTTGCGATTTTCATTTCGCGTTGCGATAGTCATTTTCGTGTTGCGGTTTTCATTTTCGTGTTGCGATTTTAAGTTTCAAAAACTATTCTTCTTCTGCAAATTGAAACTTGAATGAATTGCATTACTTCAACAAAAAAACAAAGACAAATACTAAATTCACAGTGTTGTAAATTTAAGTTTGAAGAATAAACTACTACTCTTTATGTTTATTGTTCTTGATATATCTTCACAGTGTAGTTTTTGGTATATCTAACTTGGTATGTTTATTGTTTTTGTAGAACTTTTATTCGGCTCAATTGACCTTAAGAAATAAATTAAGCCTGGCCAAAACAATTGCGTCGAAGCTTTCACCTGCACAAAGAAAAATATTTGAGGATACTTGCTTCGGGCCATGGCTGAAAGTACAACATCCGGGTGGAGATGCTATATTGACCCATATGTTTCTTCAAACCATGACTAACGATCTACCAGAGACTATACAACATCGTGATGAAGAGATATGGTTTGATTTTCCACCGGCGTATACGTGTTTTGGGCGGGAGGAGTTTTGCTTAATCACCGGTCTACGCTTTGGACACGATGATGTAGATCGGTACATTAGACACATTACCCGCCTATCATGGTTATCCTGGGTTTTTCCTGAGCTGTCAATGGAGAAGCTGAATTTACACGTGGAAGACTTGACGAGATTATTGAATAAGAAAGATGGTTTTACTCGGATGAATGACGTCGATGTTGTCCGAGTATGCCTTCTAATACTTTTGCATGTCGGCTTTTTAGGCAGAGAGGCCAGACAACCTATTCCTAATGATCTAATTAAATTGGTAGAGGACCTAAATGCATGGAACTTGTTTCAGTGGGGTTCGTATCTATGGAAAGCTACATGGAATAAGTTGTCGTCTGCCTTTGATGATCGAAAAAGTTTGCGTGGCGATGGTTCCAAATACACTTTGTCAGGCTTTATTTGGGCCTTTAAGGTAAGAATTTTTATATAATGTTTCCAAAATTATAATTAATTATTATTTAACAATTACTAATGTTTGTTATTATATTGTTTGTAGATTTAGATATTTGAGGTCTTTCCCGCCATGCAGATATATGCATTAAAAACTTCTAATGATATTCCTAGGGCTATTTCCTGGAAGAGGAAATAGACCTTACATCAATGGGAAGATTTACTACCGTATACGAAAATAAATAATGAAAGTTAACATAAATACTACCATATGTTTATAAACAAGTTATTACTAGTACATGTTTAACTTTGTTTGAGCTTTTATATTGTTAGGAGTCTAACACTCCATTACAGAGGCTGACACCCACGGAAGTTGAGCTTGCCACTGATTGGTGGCAAGCTAGTAAGCATTTTTTTGATGGCACGGATGATGAACAGCCTCCACTTCGAGAGTCATCACCTCACCCAGAGCCATCACCTGATAGACCTGACTATACACCTACACAACGAGAGCCATCACCTATTCTGTCACATCATCGAGCCTCTTCTCCACCATCACCTCATGATAGGCGACCGACAAATATGCCACGACGTTTATCTCCCTGTTCTCCACCTCCACGGGATGAGTTAGGGGAGTTACGTGATGAGGTCAATGCCTTGCGTGAGGAGGTCGGTACTTTAAGCGATGACAATTGTGCATGGCGTGTTGAGGTGTCTACTTTACGTGGTGAGGTAGCCGCTCTACGTGAGATGGTATCATCGTTGCAGAATGAGGTTCATACTCTACGCAATGAGGTAAGTTTAATATTTTTCATATTTAACTTGATGATAAATTTACTCGTAATTTCACTTAGATTAACCATTTCACTTAGATTGCTTAGTAAATTCATTTGGTTGCTGCCAATACTGCTAAACTGTTTATTCTTTAACCCTGTGAAGTTAGTATTTGTTTTTGGTTGTCTTTTGGTTGAAGTAATGCAATCCATTCAAGTTTCAATTTGCAGAAGAAGAATATTTTACTTTCGTAACGCGAAAATGACTATCACAATGCGAAAATGACTATCACAACGCGAAAATGACTATTGCAACGCGAATTTGACTATCGCAACGAAAGAACCGCAATGTGAAATGAAAATCGCATTGCGATTCTCTCATTGCGATAGTCAAATTCGCGTTGCGATAGTCATTTTTGCGTTGCGATAGTCGTTTTCGCGTTGCGATAGTCATTCGTGTTGCGATTTTAAGTTTCAGATTCTATTCTTCTTCTGCAAATTGAAACTTGAATGAATTGCATTACTTCAACCAAAAGACAAAGACAAATACTAACTTCACAGTGTTAAAAATTTAAGTTTCAAGAATAAACTACTACTCTTTATGTTGTCATTGAACCTGCACTAAACCTATATGTTGTCCTTTTAAATGTTTATATAAGTGATTACTTCTGGAATGTTATCTGATGCATTTTGTGAACAATGATAGAATAATGACTTGGGTGAATACCGTGCAAGTTTGAAATATATTTGTCTTTGTTTTCACTGTTTAATATCATGTCTGTTTATTTACTAATTTATGTATTAATTTATTTTTAGCGACCCGCTAAGGTGGATGCTCTATGTCGGGTTTTTCTTGCAAGACAGAGTTCACACATCAGACGACGTACACGTG